TGGACACCATGTTAAATGCAGTCTCTGAGGATGTGACACGAGCACCTGCTTGTCCTATTTTGATGGATTCTTTTCAATTTGTGAAGCCCGAGGATGTGGACAAGATACTTGGAGGAATGAGGCCCACCACGTCCATCCTAGACCCCTGCCCATCCTGGCTTCTGAAGGAGGCCAGAGGGGGATTGGCTGAGTGGGTAACGGTGGTGGTTAATGCCTCCCTTCGGGAAGGCAATTCCAGCGAGCTTAAAACAAGCTATTATAAAACCGCTGTTGAAGAAACCATCACTGGATCCCACTCAATTCGACAACTATCGGCCAGTTTCCAATCTCCCCTATTTGGGCAAAGTCATGGAACGTGGTGGCAACACAACTCCAGGTATTCTTGAGAGACACGGATTATCTGGATTCGGCACAGTCTGGTTTCAGACCGGGACATGGTACCGAGACGGTCTTGGTCGCCTTAGTGGATGATCTGCGCCGGGAGCTAGACAGGGGGAGTGTGTCCCTGTTGGTGCTCCTGGACCTCTCAGCGGCCTTCGATACCGTCGACCACGGTATCCTTCTGGGGCGCCTTGCGGAAATGGGCCTCGGGGCACTGTTTTGCAGTGGCTCCGGTCATTCCTGGGGGGCCGCACCCAGAAGGTGTTATTGGGGGACACCTGTTCAACACCACAGCCTTTGACTTGTGGGGTTCCACAGGGCTCTATACTGTCCCCCATGCTGTTTAATATCCACATGAAGCCGCTGGGTGAGATCATCCGGAGTTTCGGGGTGCGGTGTCATCTGTACGCAGATGATGTCCAACTCTGTCACTCCTTTCCACCTGCTACTAAGGAGGCTGTCGAGGTCCTGAACCGGTGCCTGGCCGCTGTAATGGTCTGGCTGAGGGCGAACAAACTGAAATTAAATCCAGACAAGACAGAGGTACTCCTGGTCAGTCGCAAGGCCGAACAGGGTATAGGGTTACAGCCTGTGCTGGACGGGGTCGCACTCCCCTTGAAGGCGCAGGTTCGCAGCTTGGTGTGATCCTGGATTCATCGTTGAGCCTGGATCCCCAGGTTTCAGCGGTGACCAGGGGAGCATTTGCACAGCTCAGGCTCATGCGCCAGCTGCGCCCGTACCTCGGGAAGTCTGACTTGGCCACGGTAGTACACGCTCTGGTCACATCCCGCCTTGACTACTGCAATGCTCTCTACGTGGGGCTGCCCTTGAAGACGGCCCGGAAGCTTCAGCTAGTCCAGCGCGCGGCAGCCATGTTACTAACAGGAGCGGGACGCAGGGAGCACACAACGCCCTTGCTGTTCCAGCTCCACTGGCTGCCGATCTGCTACCGGGCCCAATTTAAGGTGCTGGTGCTGGCCTACAAAGCCCTAAACGGTTCCGGCCCAAAATACCTTTCTGACCGCATCTCGGCCTATGAGCCCACGAGGACTTTGAGATCGTCTGGGGAGGCCCTTCTCTCGATCCCGCCTGCCTCACAGGCACGCCTGGCGGGGACGAGGGATAGGGCCTTCTCGGTGGTGGCCCCCCGGCTGTGGAACACCCTCCCTGTAGACATCAGACAGGCGCCCTCCCTTATGACATTCCGCAAGAGACTAAAGACATGGTTATTTGAGAAGGCGTTTGACTAAGTGCTACAACAATTGGCAATGATGATTGGAACGGAATATGGATAACGAGATTGGTTTATGATTCTACGATGAGACGGCGCGGATGATTTAGTGTAATTGTATTATTGATAGTTATGTTGATATTCTGTTGTGATATTGCCTTATTGTAAACTGTTTTTTATATGTTGTACACCGCCGTGAGTCGCCCTAGGGCTGAGAACGGCGGTCAACAAATGCAGTAAATAAATAAATAAATAAATAAATTATTTAGGTTTGTGGTTTAGCTGTGTGCTAATAGGAGAAGAAATCCCACTGGGAATCTTTACTTCAGCAGGAAGCTGAAAGGAGACAAGGGCATTAGCTGACCTTAGTTAATCTGTCAAATAAGGAAACATATTTAGAAGTGTAACAACTAAAGAACTAGTTGGTGAAGTAAAAGACATCCTAAAGTTATATTAAGATTTGTTGAAACTGTAACTCGTAAAGCTTTATACCTCAGGAGAAGAGAACTCTGAAACCATTAAGACCCTTCCATACTCCAAATAAACTTGTTCTTGTTTTAGTAACTCAAGTCTCAGTGTACTATTTCAAGGGGAAAAAACCCTGCTACACACCAAAAGAAGCACTACAGAGTGGTAGCAGTGAATCTATTTGAAAATAGGGGAATCCATTAATAAACTAAATAGGAAACCCTTATTAATTGGTGGCAGCATAGCCTAGTACCTCACAGATGGTGGCAGCATACTAGATTGAATAGAATATCAGACAACGAAGAGGAAGCCTTTACAGGGGGTTTGTGAATTCCAGTGATACTGCAGGTGAAGCTGTCAAAGTCATCTGCTCTCAGGAGGGTCTCACTGGGTGGAAGGCCACAGGGGAGGGACCAGACAAAGCACAATTTGAAGTCCTCAAAGGTGGAGCAGTGGGATGATAGCATGCGACATGTTACAACAGATGGAGGAAGGCTGCAACAGATGAGAAGCCACCAGTTGTCAGGATAACCAAGCCACTGGATGTGAACCTCTTTCTGTTAATACTGTGTGTTGATTTGGTGCACACTGATCTCCACACATAAAACAAAATCATGCACAGGCATCTTCCAAGAAAAAGAAAATAAAACCAACAAAAGTCCCATGGCGATCAGTCTGCGCTTGGGGGCGATCTTGATAGCCATCGTGGATCGGATTAGCCCGTGGTCAGTCCAGCAGTTATCAGCACCTGTCATGGCTCTTGTGAGGAGCACGTCACGGCAGTCTCTGGCACGTGTGATTACGTAGTCTAAGTAGTCTAAGAGGTGCCAATGCTTTGACCGGGGGTGCTGCCATGAGGTCTTGAACTTGTTTTTCTGGCGGAAGAGCGTGTTGGTGATGACAAGGTTGTGTTCCGCACATTTGGTGAGAAGCAGAATGCCATTTGAGTTGCTGTTTCCAACCCCGTTTTTTCCTATGGTCCCTGGCGACAGGTCGAAGTCTCGCCCAACTCTTGCATTAAAGTCCCACAGGTGGATGAATTTGTCCTCCTTAGGTATCTCCGATAGGATGGTGTCCAGCTGACAGTAAAAAAAAATCCTTAATGTCTTCATCAGCATCTAGTGTTGGTGCATAGGCACTTATGATGGTTGCCTGTTAGTTTTGGCAAGAGCAATTTGGAGGGTTGAGAGTCATTCGTTGATGCCAGCGGGTGCTTCGGTCAGATGTTTCACCAGATCATTTCTGATAGCAAAGCCAACTCTGTGCATTCTTTGGTCTGTAGCCTCTTTTTTCTTCCTTCAGCTGTCCCTCTCCTGCTCTCCGGGTCTCCTGAAGGGCTGCTATGTCAATGTTAAAGCATCCCAGCTCCCTTGCAATGATGGCAGTTCTGCGTTCGGGGCATTCACTGTCAGTGTTGTCCATCAGTGTCCGTACATTCCATGTACCAAAGTTCATTTTTCTTTTTTGGCCGCAGGGTGGTGACCCCACTGGACACGGCAGTCCAGTCAGGGATAAGAGAGGCAGACTATGTTTAGGGCACATATAAACATATATATTAACACAATTATGGTTATTATATGTTTTTAATGGTTTTTGTATTGTATTGATCTTATATTGATTTTATAATTATTTTTAAAATGTTTTAATTGTATATTGTGGATTGTTATGGCATTGAATTGCTGCCAATTTGTAAGCTACCTTGAGTCGTCTTCAGGTGTGAGAAAGGTGGGATAGAAATATTGTAAATAAATGAATAAATACATAAATTGTGTGTGTGTGTGTGTTTTACATGGCATTGAATTGTTGCCTATATACAACATGTAAGCCGCCTTGAGTCCCCTATGGGGTTGAGAAAGGTGGGGTATAAATAAATTTAATAATAATAAAAATAAATAAAAATAAATACAGCAGTGTAGCACCTGGTATTCACTGTAAATCTTCCAAGTACTTACCCTGCTTCGCTTCCAAGATCAGACATGCATTGCTCCACACATATAAAGAGTCCATCACCTAAATGCAATGTCCTCTCCATTCCAAAATTTTAGCATTCCAACAATATTCCAATAACTAAAAATTCTAGCTGAGCTTTAAAAATAAGTTAAGGCATCCATAAATAGTGTATGGGGGTGGGAAGGGGAGAGATTGGCAAAGTTACTAAAGGAATGCAAGCACAGAAAATTTAAGTGTTCTCAATTTTCTGTCTTACTCTCTGCAGGGCAAGAACTGTGAAGCCTTAGGATTTTTTCTTTTCTTTTTGTGGGGCATAATTCTTATGTTGGGACAATGCTACACTCCTGGATTTGTTTTTATTTTAATGAATGTGGAAGAAATTGAAATAAACAGATTCTTTTATCTGGCCTCTGGGATTTGAACTCTCAAAAATCTGGGTTTCCATTCTTGTATATTGAATCATGTCAGGACCATTGATAGCCCATGATGTGAGCTGCTGGTAGAATATGCTTCATTGAGAGACCACAGGGTATCTCAAATTAATAGTGAATTAGAACTGTCCCCTCTTTTTGGAAAGGTCCTCCTCTTTGATATCTACAGTGCATGGCAGACAATACAACACAGTCCTCTCCACTAATACTAATCCATCTTCATGATGGAATAGCTGTATTTTGGGGGGTGGTGCCATTTAGTTTTAAAGTATTTACACAAATATAAATGTTTCTTCATGTTTGAGGCATTTTTTCCATTTTAAAATAATCAAACATCAGAGAACATGAAGGACAGAGTTTCCCATTTCTAACCTGAGGAAAGGGGATGTTTGGAGAGCAGGACTGAAGAAAAGACATGGCTGAGGCAGGAAAGGCAAAACACCCTTTCTCTGCTTTTCCCATCTCTGTAAAAGCACCTTATTTCCAGCTCCTCTGCTATGGGTCTGCATTGATCTGGCCTCCCCTTCTTGAGCCTGCTGCTAAATCTCATCTTCATTCCTATGGGCAAAAAAGAGAAAGAACAGCAGTCAGCAGGATTCCAGAGACCTGCAGAAGAGGCACTGCTTGTAAGTTATTGTGGTCAGTGAAATGGATTATTCAGTCACCTCTGGGAGATAATCCAACAATACTGCTACTTACCTTATAGTCTACATTTTTTCAAGCCTAAGGAAAATGCGAAGCCTTCCAAAATGGGGGGAAACCAATTAAAGCATGGCATCTCAGGTAATTTATTTCAGTAATGCAGTCTGTCCAATCAATTTGTACATTAAAAAATACTTAGAAAGTGAGGTACCAGGCTTTGCTGCTGATGAAACATTGTACCAAGAAAGCTACTAACTTTCATCTTTCTTTTTTTGTGAAATGCCAGTAGGTTCAGGCATTTATTCTGGAAAACAGCACTCTGAGGCAAAAGACAGAGAAAATAATTTTGATGTTTTTCTTCTTCTGTGTAATTATAACAAGAGAGCCTTGATAGTCAATGATAAAACAGAAGCCAAAAACAATAAAGAAGGGAATAAAGAGAAAGTTTTAAACTTTGGCAATAACTATGTTATAGTATCTGATGTTAGAGCTTATTTATCTAGTTTTTCTTGAACTCCATTACATTAAGCATGTTAATAAGTATATGAAGGTTGTGATGTACTGATGAGGTCAGAGGTTTGGTGCTGAAGCTGTCCCTGCATCCACAAATTCACCCAGCAGATGAGGAAGCATGCTGCAGTAAGTTGGAGCCACTGCCACCTGAGTGGCCATCAGCTATGCCAGAGTTGGCAATGTGCACAGGCACTGAGGAGGGAAGTATAGAAAGGAAAGGGTAATGGGAGGTGAAAAAGCAAACAAAGAGCTAGAAGTCAAGTGCATGAAAGCACCAGGTATATGAATGGAGGAGAATAAGAAAAAATAATGAGGGAGAAACAAATGTGATTAGAGCAGAGGAGGTGAAAAATAATGGGATGGCAAAGGCCGAAACAGTTAAGAGGAATGTAGGAGAAAGATGGTTGGAGGGAAGTGAATTCAAAGGACAGGTGGAGACCAGGAATGTTTGGTGGCAGGTGTGGGTAAAAACACAGAAAGGATGCATATTTGAATGGTCCATCATGCCACTAATACTAATCCATAAAGGAGAAGCTTATATCTAAACTTTAGCCTCAATAGCCAAGATTATTACTCCAGATTTTGTAAGAAATGTGCATGCATATGTCTGGTTATTTCATTTACCCACCCTAAGAATAACTTATAACTGTGGGAGTTTGGCTGACTAAAAGTCTGGGGAAAATGGATTCCTGGAAATAGATGCGGCCATTAGATTAGTTTTGCATCTCTCAACCCCTCAGATTGTATTGCACCACATTCTGAGACTGGAGAAAACCCAACAAAACAAAGTGATTGACCTGCTCCTCTGAATGGCTCCAAAAGCATTAAATCACCATATTGTTAATATTAGTGTTTGGAAGACTTTACAGATATAAACAGCTATAACCAACAATGTATCTGAGATCCAATGTAACTGGCTATATCAAGTTTGTATCTATCCAGGTTAAAAAATATGCAGCTGATGCAACAATGATAAACCATTATAGATAAGAGGGAAGAGATAAAAGGCTGCATAACTAAGAAACCCCCTTGTTCCGTCTCCCAGGAGACTGGGTTTATTGCCTTTTTTGGTTGTTTGATTCGGCTGCCTTTGCCCTTTCTTTTAGAAGCTTCTGCAGCTTGCAAGTCCTAGAGTTGCAGCCAAAGGTGGGAAAAAGGGGAACCAGCCTGCAAACTCTTTGCAGTGATTGGCTTAGGGTGCAGCTCTTAGAGCCCGCCCTTCTTCCTGGGGAGAGTTTTCCTTTTTAGAATTTCTCTACCCTGTTCAGTTCCAAAGAAGCCTTTTGGATGTGCTGAGGGCCAAATAGGGCAGCCCAGAAAAAACCACCACAAAAACTACTGAGTACTGGCTATTGAGATCAGCTATTGAGAATTAAGATAAGTACAATTGAGAACTATTGAAAGGAGAAGTATTTAGTTAAGTATAGTGAGATAAGTTTGACTATTGAGAGAACTATTGTATTGAGAACAACTATTGAAATAAATAACCCCTTTTTGATGTTTAGACCTCGCAGTGGACTCCATTTTTTTATTATCTCAATTTTCTCCAGAATGCCCTAGCGGTTCACTCAGACATAGGAACAGCACATCTTAGTTTGTTTTATAAAGTGTCTGGGTGTAACGGCACACCCCTCTTTTGCATTATTTAAAATACCATATTTCAAAACACAAGTGGACTTCTGAGTACTTTAGTTTTGATTACTTTTCATTTTAGAAGTACTTAGATTCACCAAATTTGATCACTTTTGGCTTTGTGGATGAGCTCATGGGGCCTTCCTAGAATGGTGGGTGGAATCCTCTTCCATATGTAACCTAAAGCGATGCATTTGTGATTGATTTATATTCACAATACCTTGTTTAAGGGATATATAGAAACTATAAAAATCCTCCAATCTTACCTTTACTGAGAAGCAGCCACTACATCCAGTAGGGTCTGTTCCCTATCATTCCCAAAGTAGCTAGGGATGTTCCTGCTCGTCTCATGATTAATCTCCAGTATGTCAAGAAGAAGCCAAGTCCCAGTCACAACGCCCCCTTGCATTGCAGTCATTGAGGAATTTCTAAATGGCTAAAACAGATTACATGTGGTTCATGCAATAGGTGATTAGCATTGAATAGATGTTAAAAGGAAATTTATTTATTTATTAATCCAGTCTTCTGCCATATTTAAGGTAATCACTTGATCTCCAAAACATTTCTGAGACAGGACAACTTCCTTTTCATAAGATTCTAAAGCTGACTTAGGCTGCTGGTCTCAGAAAACACTGCTCTCAAAATTCAGGATGTTTGTCTCAATGATAAATTTAGCTTAATCTGTGTGTTTTTCCTCTGACATGTGTTGAATAGCTTAAAGAATGTCTACCTACCCAGAGTGACTTATGTTGTACATGAAATGTTGTTGCCTCATGACTGCAGTATCAAATGATGACAGCTTGGATGACTTTTCACCCTCTTGTTGCCCATAAAATGTACTGTTCCCTTATAATTTAGTGTTCCCTTATAAATATAAAATTCTCCTTTCACAAATGGTGAAACAGGATCTTATAGAAAATGCAAGGCACGGATGCTTTTGAAAACAGCCACCTGAATTCTCTTCCTTCTCTGCTTTACGGTATTATGTATTTGGTCAATCAGCCATCACTAATGGCAATGAAGTAGCAAGAACTCAATGCAAGATGACAACACATCTTTGCATACAATGGTTTCCCTAGGGACTGTAGCTCCCCAAATCCCCCCCCCCAATGGAAATTCTGGGAGCTACTGTTAAAAAATACTTTTCTGGTGTCTGCTTTCATTTTATCATACAATACCAGGAAAGAAGAGGAAGAAATGTGGGGCTGCCAATTACTTTCAGCAAGATCTTCAATAGCATCTTATTTCATCCATAGATTACATGTCCTATTTTAGCAAAAAGTATTTATTGATAATTATATTGCCTATTATGTCATGTTGTCCTCTCCCTACTCTGCCAAGGAAGAACATTGTGTTTACATCTTCAGGCTTAAAATAAGTAAGGAGATGCTCATTTTTCAGAAGAGAGACAGAAAGCATTCTCTCATCCATGCATCTCATTACTGCATAGACCCTGAACATGTGTGATCTGACTCAAAAAAGTATCATTGTGAACAAAAAAGCAGCAAACAGAATGTGGAAACGTTAATGCTTCCAACAGGTGAAAGGCAGATATATTGTCGAAAGCTTTCATGGCTGGAATCACTGGGTTGTTGTAGGTTTTTTCGGGCTATATGGCCATGTTCTAGAGGCATTTTCTCCTGACGTTTCACCTGCATCTATGGCAAGCATCCTCAGAGGTAGTGAGGTCTGTTGGAACTAGGAAAAGTGGGTTTATATATCTGTGGAATGACCAGGGTGGGCAAAGAACTCTTGTCTGTTGGAGCTAGGTGTGAATGTTTCAACTGACCACCTTGATTAGCATTTGATGGCCTGGCAGTGCCTGGAACAATCTTTTGTTGAGAGGTGATTAAAGGTGCCTGATTGGGTGGATGCTGTTAAAATGGTCCAAAAACCTGTTTAGTTCTTCTTCTCCATGGCTCCAAATGGTGAAAGTGTCATCCATATATCTGAACCATATAGTGGGCTTTTTTTGTTGCTGTTTCCAGATCTTGTTTTTCAAAGCGTTCCATGTAGAAGTTAGCTATGACCGGGCTGAGAGGACTCCCCATAGCTACTCCATCTTTCTGTTCGTAGAATTCATTGTCCCACTGAAAGTAGCTGGTGGTGAGGCATTGGTGAAACAGAGCCGTGATGTCTAAACAGGTTCCTGGACCATCTTAACGGCATCTACCCAAACTTCCAATTCACCATGGAAAAAGAAAATGAAGGAAGACTGCCTTTTCTAGATGTCCTAGTTGTCCGTAAACCAGATCAACACCGTTTACAGAAAACCCACACCCACAGATAGATATCTACATAAAAACTCCAACCATCACGCAAGTCAAAAAAGAAGCACCATTAAAGCCTTGGCAGATTGTGCAAAAAGAATCTGCGAACCCCACATCCTCCAAGCTGAACTGAACCACCTAAACTGGGCTATACAGGCCAATGGATACTCCACCTCAGACATCAGAAGAGCTGCAAGACCGAGAACAAGCCACGAGAATAAAGATGAAGATCCACCCAGAGTTCTTGCCATACATCAAGGGAACCACTGACCGCATAGGGAAGCTGATGAGGAAACACAACATACAAACTATCTACAGACCTACCAAGAAAATCCAACAAATGCTACATTCAGCAAAGTACAAGAGGGATCCTCTCACTTCTGCAGGAGTCTACCGTATACCATGCAGCTGTGGACAAGTCTATATAGGGACCACCAAACGGAGCGCCCAAACACAAATCAAGGAACATGAAAGGCACTGCAGACTACTTCAACCAGAGAAGTCAGCCATGGCAGAGCACCTGATGAACCAACCTGGACACAGCATTTTATTTGAGAACACAAAAATGCTGGACCACTCTGACAACCACCATGTCAGACTACACAGAGAAGCCATTGAAATCCACAAGCATGTGGACAATTTCAACAGAAAGGAGGAAACCATGAAAATGAACAAAATCTGACTACCAGTATTAAAAAAAACTCTAAAATTACAACAGCAAAACAACAGAGAGTAAACAATCAGGCACATCTAATCACCTCTCAACAAAAGATTGCCCCAGGCACTGCCAGGCCATCAAATGCTAATCAACGTGGTCAGTTGAAACATTCACACCTAGCACCAACAGACAAGATTTCTTTGCCCCACCCTGGTCATTCCACAGATATATAAACCCACTTTCCGAGTTCCAATAGACCTCACCACCTCTGAGGATGCTTGCCATAGATGCAGGTGAAACATCAGGAGAAAATGTCTCTAGAACATGGCCATATAGCCCAAAAAAAACTACAACAACCCACCAAAAAGCAGATATTTCACAAAATAAGAGTAAAGTAAATAAAGTAGATTTTTTTATTCATGATTTTAAGGTACATTTCCCTCCTTGAAAAATAAGAGACTAAAGTGAAGAGTGAGGCTTAAACACATTTTTGTGCTTCACCAATTTAGCTGGTGGTGTGTGTGTGTGTGCTTTCCTCAGATGGCATTACTAAATCTCTCCTTGTGTAAAATAGGCTCTTTGATCATAATTGGCTGAGGAACATTTTTGCTTAAATTATCTAGGGAGCTCTA